GGTAGGTGGTAACGTAACAAGTAGCGAGGATTTCTTAAGGACTCGTCATGCAGTCGTAAAAGTCCGAGAAAAAATATTGTGTCCGCGGACACCTGATTATGCCTGCATAAACAGTCTGGTCCGGACTGAACTAGTTATGTAACAGGGCTGCGCAACCGAGCGGGGCAACCGCTGGCTTAAGCGCCCCGACCCGAGCAAGCGTTCCAGCGGTGAAGCGTCGGCCGTGGAAGTCCACGAGGCCATCGGCCATGCAACCAAAACCGGTGCCAGTTACAGTCTGCTGCACGGCCACCAACTTGTGTTGGCGTGCCAGACGGTGGGCTTCGATATGCGCAGAATCCCGCCAGATCACGTACCGAACCAAATGCACCTGCATTCCCATTCCCTCGGCCCCCCCCCCTTTCCGCCCCGAATTCACTGTCAACACAACGAAAGATCCGCATATTTCATGCGTGCATCGCTTCCAAACTGCTGTACTGTTTACATACCGGTCGGTTAGACATACCGGTCGGTCAGGCACACAAGCATTGCGGAGAGTTGGTGCCTTTTCAGGCTCGTCGTTTGACATCCAGAACAACTCTACGCATCGGAGAGTTCCAATACACCCGCGGACGTTGACGTTTTCGTGGGCCCCTGAGCTCTTTCAAATTGTTGCATCCTTCTTCGACACACAATTGCCCATAAAATGTTCAGATGGCTGGCCCGCCCGCCCGCTGCACCCCCGGGCAACATCCTCCCGTGGTGGTAGGGGGCGCAAGCCGCAACAGTGGATACCAGACCGCCAACTAGTCCACGCAGAAATTGGCAACCGCGGCGGCTAGCGAACAGCCGCCGCTTGGCGACCTCCTGGCTGGGAACAGGGCTTGCCCCGCAGCTTTTTGCCAGTCCGTAGCGGGTAGCGAAAACGACGAACACACGACCAGTAGCGTGGAAAAAAAACAACGCCCCCTCGCCAAACGCATTGCGAATTTGAATGCTTGAAAGCCTCACGTGTAGTTTCAGCAGAGCGGGTGCCCAAAATGAATTTCTGGTTGCATCGCAATCAAACAAAACATTCCCATGATCCTTTGATATGCGTCCCTCAGCAAATTTTGGTGCAGAATCACCACTAGACAACCCGATCCCAAATTCCATGCGTAGCGGGTCGTGTGGCATCATACGGTGTGTGTTTGCGCTTACTTGTCGCAGCCCTCGCCGCGGCCATTCTGATGCAGCTGGAAACACATGATCATGTAATGGCTATTATGTGTTTAGCGCGTTCTTCTGCTTTACCTGCTTGCCATGGGTCAGCTTTTTCATTTCATGAGACATCGTTTGGGCTTCAACATCGAGGTCAGGTTTCTGACATGTCAGCAGGGAGATTTTCAGACGCGGTCAACACCCATGCGCTGTATCAGCCATGTGCCAAAGGCCCCGAACTCAGTTGATTATGATTTGTTCCCGCGATTTGACGATGCAATTGATGCAGGTGATGGTGAGACGTGCGCCTCCATGGCATATGATAAAGTCGAACCCGTTTTCAACAATTTGCCCATTGGTCCACCAGGCGGGCTGTGACACCATGTTGTCGGTTGTCGGACCCTTCCTGCATGCGAGACAAGCCAATGGCAGGGCAATCATTGTTGTTAACGCTGTCACTGGAGTTGGTGAGCCTCATGGCTGCAATGATGCCGAAGCGTCAGATACAGACACCCCCATCCGAACGTTGTTTTCCGAGGTTCCGAACCGCGAAGTTGTCTGAGCATCCATGGCTTGACCCCGCGATCAGAAGAAGGCAGGCCATGGTGTGCCTTTTGCATGAGCACACTTGCCTCTCGTTATTGGGATTTGTAAAGCATCAAGTTGACATGCAATAGTTCAGGTTCCACTTATGCACGTCTGAATGACGAAGCGCTGGGGGCAATTTGAACGAGCTTTGTGCTCGTGACGTGATGTCAATGATTCATTTGTGCGCCATTTGCATCGGAGGCGTGCCCACTCCGCAGCTGCCGACGCAACCGCAGGCGTTGCATGTTTTGGATCGGTGGTATTAGGCTGTAATGTTGGACCCGCTTTAAT